CCAAGCCACTTCTGCTTAGCCCAGTGCCACACTTCTCCCTTTAAACATCCCTGGATCCTCCATGTGTTGAGTTTTTCTGGTGTCTATAGCTTAATTCAGTTTTCTTCTTCGTGGCTTCTCATTCTGCACACATTTAGATTTTATTTTTCTCTTTTCTGCTTTTATCTTCGTTAGTTTCGTTGACTTCTCTCATCTGCATTGCTTCTTCCCCGAGTCTGTTTGACTCTGTAGGTTTACACCTTTTATTATGCGTTTTGTATTATTTCAAGAGGGAACTGAAATATTGCATGTATTTAACTGCTAAATGAAAATAGAAAGTATGCATAATTATGTTAAATGAAAAAATTAGGATAAAAATTATATATATGTCCAATATAACTCCACTTTTGTAAGAGAGAAATTGTAGTGTGTATTTTTTTGAGACAAAGTCTCACTATGTTGCCCTTGGTAGAATGCTGTGACATCATAGCTTACAGCAACAGCAACCTCAAACTCTTGGGCATAAGCGATTCTCTGCCTCAGCCTCCTGAGTAGCTGGGATTACAGGTGCTCACCACAATGCCCGGCTGTTTTTTTTAATTACTGTTGTCATTGTTGTTTAGCTGGCCCAGGCTGGATTTGAACCTGCCAGCTTTGGTGTATGTGGCTGGCACCATAACCACTGTGCTATGGGCACAGAGCCAATTGTAGTGTGTATTGACTGAAAGGAAATATAATAACATTTCAACCATAGTTATAGTGGGATTATAGGTGATATTTATTTTTCTACACACATTTTTTTCAGTTTATAGATTTTCTAAAATGGGTATGTATTAGTTTTATAATGTCATATAAATAACATTTGTTTAATGAACCTGCCCTGAGATACTGAATTTAATAGTAGAAAGAAAGAATTTGTTCTATGACCTTCTTATCTGTTTCTTGTGATTTTTTTGGCAAAGACAATCTCAAGATTCTAATTAAGTGCATGCTTTCTAAAAATTTCTGAGTAAAAATCTGTACATAG